CTCCCTTTTTGTCTGCTGCAGGACCCCTTAAAAATAAACAGGAATATTAGAGCAAGATTCACTGTACCTCAGGGTCCTCAGGATGCTTCTGTCTGACTTGTCCTATTCTTGTCTATCTTCAGTAGCCCGACCCCAAAATCCAGCTGGTCATCATATGGGACCTGAAGGAATCTACAAACTATGCCTTGCCTGCGTGGCAATAAGCTAGTCTCATAATTTTGTCCAGGGAACCAGTGACAAAAACTGCACATCTCACTATTACGCAGCATCAGAAGAACTCAAAGGTAACCCGTATACCAAAACCCCACGATGGGATGGGATAGAGTCACACGAAGAGGGAGACTAGTGCTTTCACTTCCCCTTTCTTTGTCTGCACATGGATTTCTGTCCTTCCCGTGAGCTCTCCTTATGGCATGCTCAGTGCTGATCTCCAAGGCAGCAAACATGACAACTGAGGGTGTGTCTATAGCAAGCAAGGAAACCATTGCAGGGGCACAGACCGCGTGACATGTTTGGTTGTCTTGCCTGTACGTACAACCACTCTGTGCTCGATGGAACTGTTTTGGCACATGTATACTTTGGCTCTAATTCAAAGCAGCTGGAAAGCCAGTTTAACCAGGCTGCTCAGGATTTTGATTACAGAGAGAAAGCCCTTAGATGGTGCAAAGTCAGAGCCGGTTCTAGACAAATGTTAGCCTCCTATGGCTTACGGAAATTGGTGAGAGAAGGGTACAGGAATCTCGGTTGTTGTGCTATTGTGTTCTGGTTGCCAGAAAGCCCCTTAGAGCCAGGACAGCATAATGTAATGGAACAGACTGAAGTTCCACTGGGGAATTCGACTGTTGCTGGGACAGGTCAGGATTGTAGGGGGTGGGAGGGAGACAGAGTTGTCTTTGTCTAGGATCTGGCTTTCTGTTCCTCACAGCTATGGTTGTACCAGTACAGTCAGAGTCTCCCAAAGCATCTATTCCACAGTGTCCATTTTGCTATTGTGACTGGGGCTTGTGAGTAACTTCTAAACACAAGGCATGACATTACCGGGTAGAGATAGGACCACCAAGAGGACTGGCACAGCTGCAACGCTTGTGGTTTCCTGTCCATACTGAGGAGTAACTGTTTGTTGACCTCACTTGGCCCAGATCCACCACACATTTTTAGGTGCATGACTCTCATTGACTTTGATGGAAAGTACAAGTTAGGTGCTTAAATTCCTTTGTGTACCTCAGGTATCCAGGTTGTAGCCATAATGGCCTAGAGAAAAAGTCAATCAGGACTCATAGTAGATATCTTTTATTAGACCAACAAGATTTTTGTAAATCTTGTGCATCTCAGCTCTTGTGCCATGCCAAAGGTCTTTTTGCCTGTTTTAAAGAGTGTCTGAGTGTGAGAAAGAGAGATTATAATTACTTTTCCAATCCTGCTTATAGTAATGTCCTGCCAGCTCCAGTGTTGGCTTCTCAGGACCTTCTAAAGTTTCTACTTGCAGTAGCTCTTCTGCACTGTTGCTGCAGCAGGAAGCAGTACAGCTCTGAATGTCAAGGCAACAGTAAACCACTGGTTGACATAACAGCAAGGAAACTTCCATATGGTGAAGATATAAGCAGACACAGAATGAGGGGGACTGACAAACAAGGCTATTTTTGTCAAAGTGAAACTGTCTTATATTAGAGGTTCTGATGATTTAAGTTCCAGGTACTAGAAAAGACATAAGCCAAGTTCAAGCTGTTAAATGATCAAGTATTCTCTTGTTTAATGCTACTCCTAAGAAAACAAAACTCTCTTGCAGCTAAGTTCAGTGTTCAGAGGCCTCAGAGCAGTCCTGTGTGCTGTGACTTCCTTCAAATGTGTAAATCCGCCAGCCAGCTGTGTAGCACCCCCTCCCCCATAACTCAGACGTAAAGAAGATTGTGTTCTAGACTCGCTTGTTCAAGATTTCACTTCTAGCCTCACTTGTCAGATGCTTAGGGTGTAGATTCCACTGACAGCGCAGTTCCAAATGGTTAGATGATTCCTACTGCCCTAAAATAAACTGCAGCATGATCCCCGCTGGCAACTGGATAAGACTACATCCAAAGAGACTGGAGCTGAGTTCTCATGGTGCTATGGTCTGACTCTTATTACACTGGGAAAAGAATAAAACTGGATTCCCACATGATTAGTGCATGTGGATTCAAGGAGTCTGAAGCCTGATTTCCAAAGGATAAATCATGAGGTATACTGCTTCAGCAAGAAGATTGCAGTCCACTTGCTATTGCTGATAGTTATGTAATTTCAGCAATGAAATTTCCTCCTAAATATGTTTGTCCAGGTAGGTCTGCTGAATAGGTCTGATGAGCTATTCTAAGGAAAGAAGGAATTATAGGACAGTCGTCCTCTGCCACTTGTCTAGCAGAGAACTGGCATTTTATGATATGAACAAAAGTGGTGGTGTTGTAGTCATTATGTTACATTATACTATACTGAAGGTGACATTAAAGGGCAGAATTCACCACTTGCAGCGACTGCTTTCTATCTCTACTTGGAATAGGAGATTTTGAGGTACACAGTAGCAGGTGTGTCTGCTGTGACCCCCTTAGTAACATATAAAACTAAAAATGGGAAAATCTCAGTACAAGACTCCAAACCAGAAAGGCAGAATTCATGACTGCACTTTTAGATAACAGCAGTGGCAGCAATATTTAATTTTAATTTACTTGAGAGAATGAGGCCACAGCTTCATGCTAGATAATCAAATTTGAAGTCTTGGCTGCCTACGGACAAAGCTATCACATTATTTCCAAGTGTGGGGGTGTTATGCCATCTTGTCTATTAGCAGTTGTAGAATGAACTGCAGCTGCAGCTGCAGCTGCAGTCAAGCTAGGACTGTCCAAGGTGACTGTGAACACACCAGTGTGGTGGATAAATGGACAAGCACTGTTCACATGATCATTCAAAATGCACAACTACTGACTCAAAGAAAGAAAACTCACCAACCCTGGTTGAGCAGTTCATTAACCCTGGGTATCTTACCTGTTTGCTGCCAATAGATGTCATTGAGCTTGGACAGCTGAGAAGTGCCCAGAGAAACTCTCTCCATCATGACGCAGAAGCATTTCACAGTGGTATCGCCAAGAGAAGTTAAATCAGTGAGCAGATTCTATAGAAGAGCGCTTAACTTTGTCAGAGTCTAAAAACAGGCATACCCCCAGGTCAGGCATTAATAGCATGCTGTTGGCCTCACAGAGACATTTTTGGCTTCTGGCCTATATCTGAGAAGAGATGAATGTATTGCAACGTGTCATGTTTTTATCAGCACGTGAACTGCTTCTCACTTTGCAGCTACTCTAGCCCTATATGCTAATGAACTTGCAGCCTGGGGAAAGAAAAAGCATGAGAAACTGAATATTTATTGAGGGTGGTCGTACCGTCTCTTAGCTCCCACCGTACTTTGCATCCCATTCTGTGCATATGGTGACCCCTACTATAACAGGAGCCCTTCAGCAAAAGTAGAGAAGCATGAGAAATTAAGTGAAATCAAGAAGCCTCCTTTTTTAACTGCTTCCAGATTTCTCACAACATTGCTATCGTCCCCTGCTAGACACATAAGCAACAAGAAGCAAGTGACAGAGGCACTTGAGCACACAGGCAATCCTCTTGGCTGTGCTAATGAAAGCCTGACATGGGCCCACATGGCCACTGTTTTTGCTGGCATGGAACAATCCTACCAGCGGAGCCCTGAAAAGTGCATATTTTGCCTCATTAATAAAGCAAACATTGGTTTGCCTTGGAATCATTATGCACAAGTGCACACACATGGGAAGTTTATCATACAGCAAATAGCCTGGACTGATCTTTATGCAAAAGCCTGTCCTAATTAAAACTTTTACTTCTCTCCACAGTTCTACCTCTGCCCTCATCTTCCCCTGAGACTCCTTCTCTCTTCCTTATTCCTTGTTCACTTCTGGTTACTCCTTAGGTACTCCTAACAAAATCGTCTACTTTCAGTTCACCACACATGCCTTGAGTAGTCTCTCAAGTTGTTTCCTTCAAAAAAAACCTGCCAGAGTCCCATCTACTCCCCAAAGCTCTCCAACTCAAATGTCCTCACATCACTCCCTAGAGTTTTATTTCACTAGCATGACACTTGGTGCCTTGACAAGTTGAATGAAGCAAGGAATTATATTAGCTGTTTGACAGGTCCCACTGCCTGGCACACCAGAGACATTTTATTACAATGACAGTCAGGCTCTCTTGCTAGACTTTCAAGCAGTCTCCAGACTTGGATAGAGAGACAATTTCATGGCCTACTCCTGATATTAATAAGATATTCCTGTCTCTCCTTTCCAGACAATAAATTTGACATTCACCCTAGTGACAAAGCTTACTGGGCCTGACTGCAGTTCTACCTCAGACAGCTGAATCACACAATGCAAGAGAAAGCAAGGAAAGCAAGATGGGAGAAACAGATGCGTCAAAGGGAAGGTGAGAGGTCACAGGTCCAAGAAGTTTGGGTATTCTAAGAGGACTATCCTGAATTAAATACGATGGATAAAGATGAAAAAGCTACAAAATTATGACATAAGAGAGCAATTTGACCACAGCATCTTGGCTTCCCTCAAGCTGAGAGAGCAGGAAGGTTAAAAGATCAAAAAGAGCTTTTAAACATTTCTAAGCAGAAAGAGAAGATTTCAGGGGCAAAGGTGTTTTGTGGAGGTAATGATGACATGCCTCCAAAATGTGGGGAATAACAATGATATCCTTTCCAGCGCTGCTCTTGATGGAAAAACATCTCAGGCAGCCTATCTAAGTACTGGTGAGCATGAAATGGCTGCTATGTGTGCTCAGGTAACCCCTTGCCTACCACTAAATTTCTCTAGGAAACAGTCAGTGTGAAATGTGAAAGGTGCCACCCAAAAATCACATTTGCTTGCAGTACATGGCAGCCTGATTGGAAACAGTCGAGGAAAGAACATGTAAAAAGAAAAAAAGGAGAAAAACACAAACCTATTTCCAATAAATTTAATAAATATTGTAACCTATGCATGCAACACTACAGCAATAAGAGCAGGATGAAGTCAGAAAATATAGGCCTTTTGCTAACAGACAAGTAGAAGTTAAATTGAGAGTCAACTAAGGTGACTTACAGATGGGTACTGAAAGGTTTGTCAGCTGGGGCTCAGCACTGTGCCGGAAAAACTTGTTTCAGCGTGAACATGAGGAAGACTATCTTCTCACATTGCAATTTGGTGCCAAACTCAAAGAGGCAGCAGAACAAGGGTGAGCCATCTGGACCCTGGCCCAGGTACTGCATATCTGAGTAAGCACATAAACCCTTACAGATGATGCTGGGTTCTGTCCAGGTTGCTGGATCTAAGGGACACTTGTTGAGATACACTCCTAAGTCTCTCCGTCCAGTGGGGTCTGTTGGATGAGTATAGAGCACCCAGCTGTCTTGACACCCTGACTTCCCATCAGTGGGACACGGAAAGGCTGTAACACTCCCGTGACAGCCATGGGGAGGTTCCACCAGCTTTGCTATCCGCTGACCACTTTCAAAATCCACCCCATGGTTGTAGCTCACAGCCTGGACTCTGGCACCTCGGCTGCTTCTAGCATTGCAGTACAGCACTCTCTCTCCACTGATGTGCACTTCTGTGACCTGGCACTCCACTGCACTCTCCTCCACAAAATTCCCCAGCGTCCAGGTCTTTCCATGGTCAGAACTGACAAAGCAGAAGGCGTGGGGGGAGGGTGTTTTCCCAGGGTCAAGTATTCGATAGGCATAGGCAGGAATCACTAGATTTTGCGACTCATTGGACAACTGCAGACCATGACCAGGTCCCACTGCAAAAGTGGCCCACTCCTTGTGTGTGGTGTTAATCACAGAGTTAGTGAGATCCTTGGCTGAGCTCCAGGTGCATCCACTGTCAGTGCTCGTGACATGGCACAAGTGTACCAGGTTGGTTTTTGTTTTGATCTGGTGCATTTCAGAGATCTTTCCTGGGATGGCTATAAAGAACAGGAAAAGGGTCCCAGTAACCTTATCATACACTGGACATGGGTTCATGGATCGGTGCCCCTCCAGCTGAGCACTGAGAATGGTTTCCATTTTGTTCCACTGCCACGTGTGAGTATGAAAGGGGGACAAGACAGGAACACATAGTTAAAATAAATCATACTTTAATTATAGATACAGACTAGAAACGAGAGACAGAGATCAGGGCATTGGTCTATCCTCAGTGTTGCCATTGACCCTCTGTATTACTTAGAAAACTTAATAAAGTAGCCTGCTTTTCATGGGTCCAAGGGACCCAGACATCTCACTGAAGTTACTGAGATGTCTGTGTATAAGGAATGAGGTACCCAACACCCAGTTACACCAGCCTGTCTAGTCATATAGCAAGTCAGTAGCAGAGATGGGATACACCTGTCTGTCTAACTGTCTTTCTTTTGCTTAAGTTTTATATCACACAGTATGGCCATGTTTATACTAGCTGTGCTGCAACTAGAAAATTATTACCAACCTTCTGGCTCAGAATGAAATTGTAATAGAAGCTCTTGGCTTTTCTAATAAGATTATGCAAATTAATGTTTATGTAATGACTTTCTGATTGCTCATTTTTTGCCAATGTCTTTACGTAGTACACTTAACCAAGATCTTCTTTGGTGTATTTTTATATTTTATTTTTTAATAAGCCTCAGCACACAGACAGAAACTAGTGAGTCTCCTAATGACCAGCTGAGTCCTATCTAACTGAATTATTTTGAGGTTACATGAAGCAGTATTATAAATGAATATTTATACTGCAGTCCTCCCAGGCAGAGACAGCCCTCCCTGAAGAGTTTACAGTCTAACAAGCCATGTATGAAAGATTAGAGGAGAGAGATGGAATGATTTTTAAAAAAGTAATGCATTTGCAATTGCTAAAAATAATTATAAATAGAGTGTCACCCACCGTCAGCCTCCAGCAAATTCTCTGCTATTAAATGGCTGATTATTTAGGTAGTCAATTCACTGGGGTAGACTGCACACACCAGTCAGCCTTTACACTCAGGCATGGGGTGCAGCAGGTCCCAACCACTTTTTAAAGTAGGAATTCGTTCTCCCAGGACAAATAATTGCAGACCTCTTATTTTACTTGATTAGCAGGCTTATACCCTGCCTTTTCTCCGCCTTTGTGCCTGCAGGCCAACTGGCCTTCTCTTTTTTTCTCTGATCTCCTGAATCAACAGTGGGGTGAGAAGCAGCCCAGCCCACACTCTCCTTTTCCTTTCCCCTGCCTCACCCCAGCCGAACCTATGGCATCCTCGCCCTTCCCGTCCTCTGTCCCAGCCCCTCAGCAAGCCCACTGTCCTTGAGTAGGTGAACTCAAATGAAAGCAGCTTCAATTATACGAACATTACCTGAACGTGGTGGGTAGTTGCATCATACATGCCTCTGTACATGGCTATCAACCTGGCATGTTCATCCACCACATCCTCCCTCTCCTCTGCAAATGCCAGGATGGTACTTGATTGTGGCACATAGAGCAGGGCTGGAATTCGGTAGCTCCAAGGTCCCTTTTGGAACAATGTCTCTTGATGTAAAAGGGGAAGCAAGGCCATCAGGCTGTGAAAACAAGAAGGAAAGGGTTGGGGTTTGATCTACCTATGACATAGCATGCGTGATCCAGATGGACTGGGCCAGATCCACCCATCTCCCACCAGCCTGAGCCTTCTTTTCCTTTAAAATGTAGCTCTTGCACCCTGCTCTGATTTTATTCCTTCCTCATGCTCCTCTGGACAAAACCCATCTATCATAATCCTAGATGTGCCACTGGCAATGCAGATCAGACTCATCCCAGGCTGATTGGACTAGAATGAAATAAGTGCATTAAATAAATTGAATAAAAGGGGTTTAATTTTAATGAAATTCACAGGCTGTTTTTGTTAAAGTCAGAACACTGCTAGTAACTAAAATGGACAATATTTTTCCTGAAAGACTCATTGTATTTTCCCATTGTTTCCAAAATCCAACACAGATGACTGAGTACAAATTCATTTGCTTGCCAAGTGGTATCTTGGCATGCCCCAAGAGGCAAAGGTACTTGCCAAATGCTATCATTTGAGCCCGATTAAGCTGACAGATACTGAGAACATGCTCGGCCCTAGCCCTACCCCATTTGAGGCTGCCAAGCCCTGAATGCTGCATAGGGAAAAGGGAAGGAGGTACTTTGTATTGCTCAACAGCAGCCACTCCAGCAGATTAAAGAGTAGAAATAACAGGCTACAAAGAATTGATTGTCAGCTGCATCTCAGGAACTTAGTTACACAAGACAAGGAACCTGAGGCAGGAAAAGATCATTTGGGAGAGAGTATCTTCAAAAAGCCAACCAAAGAAGAATGACCCACATCCTGTTTGGGAGCTTTCTAAACCAAAGAAATGGACTTAGAGCCCAGCCTCTGCTTGTCATGCTGGGGGAGGAGGAAGAGCTACCATTTTTTTTGAGGAAAAGGCTAAGGAGACAAGAGAACATGAAGTGAATATCAAGGAGGCACAACTGGGAAGTTCCCTTCTATATAGCCTCTCTCCCTCCCTCCCTCCCTCCCTCCCTCCCCTGAGATTTGTAGGATGCTGCTCTGCCATTTGTGCATGTACAGCAAAGTGACAATTCCCAGTTCTCTCCCACCCCCCAGCCCCTGCACTGCCTTTACCCTGGTACAATGCCATGAGTTTAAGGGAAGCAGAAGAGAGCCCTTGCTCTCTGAAGCATTGCGTGGGTGAGGTAGCAGGGCGAAGACAACAGCGAACTGTGAGTAAGAAATTCAAATTGCCTCCTACTTCAATGGGTTACTGTAACACTCTTAATTACGGAGCTTCATGTCTATTCATACACACATCTGGGGACTGCAAATGTGGCTCCTATTCCCATGGAAGACCCTTTCTGAGGGTGTCTTGCTTTTCTGGAATTGTGTGTAGGTAAAGCAGAGATCTCTGATGAGGCTCCAGGGAGGGTGCTTCATTCACCTCAAGAAGAGTAGGAGAAAATTATATTTTTCTGGTCTACAAGAGAGAAGATGATCTTAGCAGCCTGCCTAGTATGGATTTCATTATGCTTGTTACACTGATGAACTGTCAGTAACTTGGTATAACTTTATTCTCTGCTTACATTTTATTACAGCGAAGCAGCTGATACATGCCTATCCTTTGCTTCTATTTTTCACACACTGCATACTTTTGTGAGAGTTCAGAATTAGCACTACCAGGCAAAAATAGCTTGCATGGTATTGTATTAATCTAAAACTGCCTGGACCAAGCTTTGCCAAATTACCACTGGCAATTACCACTGGCAATTACCACTGGCTGTAGAAACACAGTTCACTGAGATTTATGACACTGGAGGGGGAAGGGGCAAGTCCTGCATCCCCATTCCTGAAGGGGCAGAAGTTCTCAGGTGCAGCAAAAATGTCCCTTGCATAGAAGGGTCAGAATCCAAGGGATTCATGCCACTGTTCTGCGCTGAAGCGCCTGCATATACTGCATCCCTGTAGGGCTTCAGCAACAGAAAAGAGGGAGACTCATTAAAGGGCTGCCCACCTATTTAAAGGGATGTTATCTTGTTCTATACACTGAAGCCTCTGTATGTTCTGTCAGATGGAATGGGACAGGAGAGGGGCCAGGAAATAGAACTGTTGCCTTATGTATATACCAGCTAATTGGAAGTAGACCTGTGGGAGGCTGAAGAAGTGACTGCAGAACAGCTCTTCTGCTAGCAAGTACTCAAGGAGGGACTCTTGTAAAGAGACCAGCAACCAGCACCACCCAGTTCTATTCTATAAACTCCATCTTTGTGTAGCGCTGACTGAAGGGTCCTGTTTGAGATGACTGTAGGTGTGTCTACATGTGCATTAGAGCAGTTTACTCATGAGTAAATGCTCCTAGGCAGGCTTCTACATGTGCAGGGAAGTGGAAGCAATAACAGCAAACTGCTTTTTTTTTTTTGCTTTTTCATTGGCATGAATATTCAGCTGAATTGATTTGCCTCTTTTTTGTATCTATAAATTCAGCATATATATATAAAAACAAGGGGTGGGGGGGAGGAAACGGATGAAAATAAAACAAACATTTCAGTAGCCTTCTTGATCTTTGACATGGATGAACTCTGTGAGGTCATGGAGGTGATGCTCTGCACGATGTATCAGTTTTGTAGCCACTCTTTAGGTATTCTATGCTTATCAAAAATTTTTATTTACTTTTCATAGTTTAGCATAGTTGACATTAAAATTACTTATAATAACAGCATTTTATAAACTTAGTAAAACACAATTACTACATAACACAGTCAAGCTTGATTTTTTTTTTGTACTCAGCAAACTTCTTCAGTGATGATTTAATCCTGTAAAATACAAGAACAAAAGGGAGGGGCTCACTCCTTTTGGTTAGTTTATTCTTAAGATCATACACTTGTGGCTGGCTTGGCTTATAGCCAGGTTGGCACTTATTCAAAAAATTATCCTCTTTGCACCTTGCAGAGGTTGCTTTTACAGCAGTGTTTTTCTCTTAAAGTGGCAGGCGTTTTATGCCACATCTCTTTTTTGTTGCTTGCATCAAGGGTTTTTTTGTTGGAGTATGCACCCCTTAGTTTTTTGTTAATGAAGAATAACTCACCCAGAGGTGGGAGCTAGGGTTTTAAGGCACTTTATATTTGCTTTTGCCTATTCCCTAGGGTGGTCATTGTGCAGCATTTTGCAGAGCTTGTCTTCCTACAGGTAGCTTTACTATACTGACTACACCTAGGAGGGTGGCAGTTTCAGGTCATACTTAGGATTAAACTTTTTCACTTTCCTGCTTTGACTTTCTTTTACTTTTTATGGGCACAGTCTCTGACTTTTGGGCTTTTTGGCCCTGCCTCAGGTCAGTTGAGATTGCAGGCTCTCGACTCTGGCAGCTCTAACATTGATTTTTTCTCTGTGCCCCTTTTCTGGACTGCCAGATTACTTGGTCTTTTAAGGTCTTGCAGACTCTTTATTAGATTTTTCTCTTTTTCTCTCTCCAACAACTTTCTAGAATCCTAACATTTTTTTTTTAGGTTTCACTTAACTTTTAGTTTTTCTTTCCTTAGCAGATTTTAACCATAACTTTTTTTGGGCTACAGGCTTCACAATTCATTTTTATCAGTGGCTCTTTGTAAACTAATTCATTCATCAAATTTTCCTCTTTTACAGCTGTACAATCGAGCAAGCTTCACTTTAGGACTAAGAAAGTGAAAAGACAGTGGGTGACAAATTACACACTACACATAATCCCTTCAAGAAAACTCTTCCTATCCCAAAAAGAAACTTTTAAACTATGCCTCTGCAGAGAAAAAACAAAACATGCCTCTGATAAGCTTACTCCTTTTTCCCTGCTCAGAGTAACTCAAATTAATTCTGAGCACTGATTTCTGTTTGCACAGCTGTTAATAATCTTTATCTCTTTTAGGTTCTTCACTGTTCCTGGAGAAGCAGGGGGGAGAGAATCAAGTTTCTCCTCTCACTTCTAATCACAAATTCTCTGCCACTGCTTGAACAGATGTTTAGTAACATACCTTGTTTCTTTCTGTGCTACTTTGCTTCTATTTTGTGATACACATGGGATTCTAGAGTGTTTCTTTTACATTTCCTAACTGTTTTTGATCATTTGTGAAGCTGTACTGCTTATATAACACTTTATCTTGTTATAACTTGTACCGGTAACTTACACTTTACGAACTTCACAGCAAACATGCACCTGCTTTTGTCTTTTCTCTGCAGACAGCTGTAATTATTTTCTCCCAGGGACCTTAGAGTTAAGGAACCCTGTTCATTCATAGAGCCTTTCTAGCAGAGAGATGACTCTCTTTGCTATCTAGCTTCCTATTGTAAACACAACAGGAGGTTCTTACTTAATTCCAAGTGGACTACAGCATATACTCATGTCCACTACTCTGCCTGACCTGGACACACAACGTTTCTTGGTTATCAGTAACAAACAACATCTCCTGCACAATACTTATAACTTCAGTTACTTCCTATATAACTCTACCTTGCTACAGGTTTCAGTTAACCCTTCTAAAACAAATCACTCTGCATGAACAAATGCTCTGATTGGTCAGGTACTACTCTTGTGTCCTGGTGAAGTTGCCAATTGTTGGACTGGTTTTGGACCCAGTACCTATACCTCTGTTTTGGACAGATACAACCCTCAGACTGACCACAATACCTGCCAGTTGATAACTGGTGAATTTGTTGATACAGAGCAAGAACAAAAGAGCAACAAGACAAACAATTAAACAATTCTATATCTACTCAGAGTTAAGGTACATCTGGCCAGAATTCAAGCTTCACTCTGAGGCATTCTGGCTTAGGTGTCAGCAGTTTGGAGGTGAAATCTTGAACACTCCAAGCTAAAGCCTGGAGGGCAGTTGCTTTACTTAAAGATCCGTCGACCCAACTCCAGGCCGCAATCCAAGCCAGGCTAGACAGACTCTTCTGGGGCCCCTGCAGTGGACCCCCATTCCGTTTAACCCAACTCACAAAAAAACCACTGAGGTCACCCTGACCCCACACACAAAGAGGAAAAGCCTCTGAACCTGCTGCCATGCTACTGGGGAAAGGTAAAAGATGGGGTACGATAGCTGAGATGGCCCAAGAGAACCTAGTACACTCGAGGAGACCCAGGCCCAAGAGAACCCAGTACACCTGCTAGGTCTTACCCTGGTAGGATCGGGATGGGCAGTCCCCTCCAAATGTGTGTTGAATCCTGTCGACTATGCCAAGATGTTAGACCCCGACTCCACACGGCACCCAATGACTAGGGAGACGATGGTCCAATTACCCATGGATCCTGTTACTAATTAGCCAGAGCAGAGCAGGGAGCAAACACCAGCACACATTACTCACAACAGCTTTATTCAGAATGGAGACAGCTTAGCCATAAGAGATGGCGTCCTGCCCTGAACAATAGGTTCATCCTACATTTATACACTTTGTTTTACACTCATTAACATTCACTCCTTCGTCCTACCTTCTATTCCACCCATTTCTCTTCCCATCTTCGGCCTCTATTTACTGTTTGCTTCATTAACATGGAATTGCCTATGCATTTAATTCATTTACATGCCTTTTTGCTATGAGTGCATGTCTAAGGCCATGAACCCTCTTCTTTTGGTCAATGGGCGGACTTTGACCAAAACCTGGAAGCTTCTGGAGGCTTCTTCACCAATCACCATTCACCTTTTTGCATATGTTCATCTTGGATTCTGTTACCAGTTACATGTTGTTTTTCACATTCCAGTCTGTTTTTCTGTCTCAGATTGTACCATCTTCCACCTTTTTTTGGACCCCTGTATCTTATCTCGTTCCTTACTGTAGCTGGTTCACAGCACACAGACTTAATTGCTGCTTTTTCCAGAAAAAATGGTTGACACAGTTAAAATGGTTACTTAGCATAAGCAAATGGCTGGCTTAGCTATCATTTTGCCTTGTGGTCAACAGCTTTGCTAGGCCACAGGCCATGCCTTGTATTCAGCTGCAAATCCAGCGCTCTCTAAGATCCAAATATTGTCACCCTAACAGTTCCCACCCAGGCTCCAGTGTTGGAGCCTTCCCTGGAAACAGGCAGTTCCCCAGGGCAGGGAGCAATCTTCTGTTCCCCGCTAGCTGGCTGATTGGGAGCAGATTTGGTTCTGATCAGGCATCTATATAAGCGCTACTGCACAGTAACTAGTCACAAGTAAATCTGCTACTTGCATTTGCAGGTAGCAAATTTACTCGCAATTAGAGCAGTTTACTGCACAGTAAGCATGTGCATGTGTAGACGTGCATGCTAACTGCACAGTAAACTGCTCTACTGCACAGTAAAGTGTCTCATGTAGGCGCACCCTGTGTGGGATAAACTTGCTGCTGAATTGCTGTTCTTCCTTCTTCTACCCAATGATCATAGCCCCTGTGGGATGAATGTCCTCTTAGTGCAGGAGCCCAAACATGCTCCACCTAGGGGTCATGACTTGCCATCCTATCCTGCATTTACCAAGTGAAAGGGAATCCTAATCTCTAAGAAGAGGGTGTAAGATATAAAAGGCTGAGAACAGCTGCAGTACTAAAAGCAAATACAGGGCCACTGGACAGCATCATAATCAGAGTCTTTCCCATATACCAGTGATTCTCAACATTTTTAGATTCAAGACACCCCTTGATAGACACAAAACACTCCTCTGAAAATGTCAGCTTTTAGTTTTCAGTCATTTTTTGATCATAAAAAATAATGGAGCAAATCTTTTGTTGCAAAGAACTGAAGAAATCCACAACTGTTCAGAAAGTTTTTAACACTATGAAATCCTATATGAAGTCTCTGGGTTTATCTTGTGAATCATACGTGCACACTTAACAGTGCTAACATTGTGTGGCACCCTGTAGCACCTTTGAAAGGATCACAAGGCACCCCAGGGTGCCATGGCTTGATAATCACTGCCATATACCATGACATTTGCCTGAACCTTTGCTGCCCTTCTGCTTCATGGGAATTTAGATGGCCCTAACATTAGTGTAACACTCAGCCCAGCTGAAAGCAGAGCTAGATAGGGCCCTATAGGTAGCTTAGATGAGGGGCACACTGGGACAACAGGAAATGGAAGGAGTTGGAACAAAGAGAGAGTGAAAGAGAGAAAAAACTACAAGCTAAAAAAAGACGCGAGAAGAGGGTCCAAATTATATGAATGCCATTGTAAAAATGCCATTAAGGATATTGTATATTAGATGGCAGGTCACTGAAGCACTGATATCCAAAGGAAATCAATTGTATCCAAAACCGCAAAGGCCTTAGAACAAAGAGAAACAGACCTGTGAGTGCGTGAATCAAGCTTCAGTCTGAGTCCAGTATATCCTTCACAACGTGTGCTGTTGTGCTTCTTGGGGTACTTGCAATCCCCTCAACTCTGCTGCCTTAGGCAATCCACATGGTCTGTCTGTAGAGAAGGGCTTTAGTTTGCTTGAGTGCAGCTCTCTACTAGGAGTGTTAAGATAATACTGGGGACACTGACCATAGCTTATGTAGAAGTTTCTTCTGACATGTACATTTAGGCAACAGTCTGTCAATTGGCCTCATCAGCTATCTTCAGACCCACAGATAAAGCAAGATCATTGTCATGGAAGACAATGATCCTCAACTATGAGGCATTACCAAAATATTATATGAATTTAGGCCCAAATTAAGATGACAGTGGGCTTGTCTACACCAGAGGCTTACTGAGGAGCTGACTAATTAGCTCTGCCATAAAATGTCACTGTCTACATATGTCACTATACTAGGTCATAGTAGACTAATAAATGCCGCCACAGGGTAGTCTGGCTAAACACAAGTACTACCCTGAGGCGGCATTGTTTTGTGCACTGCAGTGCTTATGTAGACAGTGATGGGACTGGCTGGGGCATGAGGGTGCTTTAGCGTGGGGCGAGCCAGCAGCCAGCCACTCCATAGCATGTGGAGCCTCACCGGAGCAGTCCAGGGCTGGCTGCTCCAATAGGGCTCCATGTGCTGCAGGGAGAAAGTAGCTGGGGGACAAGGGTGCTTCAGATTGGGGTCTACTTGCTGGCTAGCCCTATGCTGAAGCACCTTTGTGCCTCAGCCAGTCCCTCCCCACCTGGCACATTGGAGCCAGGTCAGAGCAGCCCAGGGCAGGCTGGCTGACCCCCTGTGTGCCCTGCCAGCCCAGGGCTGCTCTGGCTGGGCTCCATGTGCTGCACACAAATAAGCTCTGGAGCAATATGCCCCACGTTCAAACAGTGTGTCCAGAAGCAAATAACTCCAGAGCAATATGTCCCGGAGTTTATTCATGCACATTAATTGCACGTGTAGATGTGCCCAGTGTGCCTTTAACTCGGGGCCAGCACATAACAAATTTGACCCTCTCTCTACCCATTACAGTGTTTTGCTGCTGCATCCTGGAGAAACTGCTCTAGAACAACTTCAAGCTACAGAACCAGAAAACAAACATGTTGGTTATTCAGTAAGGGGAGGAGGGGAAAACAGAAACCAGAATCTGTTCCACCTAAGCACAAATAGCTAATTAAGTTATTTTCCTTGGGGGATTTTTTCTGAGAGGCCGTTCAAGATGAGCATAAAAATCTAGTCCAAGACATTTCCAACTACATATCTGACCTGGGAGTTTTTCCCATCTGCCATTAATGACTGCATCCAGCTCTGCTGTGTCATACTGCCAGAGGAATCACAACAGAATTTTTATGCTACTTGGAAGAGATTTCAGGCTAAACCCGGGTAAGGTCGGGAGATTTCTTAATGATTCAGTCAGCCAGCAATTCATCCCAGCACACTGTTCTCGGCCAATAAATCCTACTCAAAACCAGAGTGCAAAGGGAAGCTGCTAACACACATCTGATAATATAAGTGAGATTGTTTAAAGCATTCTGAATTCAATACTGAAACAGCATGAAACAGTGCTTACTTTACTCCAGAAGTTAAGTGGTACTAGGATTTCTAGCCAGGCTAAACTGAAAGTTATGCCTGCAGTAGAGAACGTAATACTGGGTTTACATGGGGGTTTTCAATCAATCAGTACGTGCTTTTCTGAACAGCCAATTCTTTTAAAATTCAATGCACCTGCTGGCAGTATTTTCTGTAATTTAGAGCAAAGGCTCTCTGTGCGCTGTGGGGGCACTTACACTAAACAGTGCGACTTTCCCTGCTGTATGCTTGGTGGAGTACAGCACAAGCTATCTATCCCATCAATTCTATAACACCTAAACAATGCCCCTTAGCTAGCAGCAATGCTTACTCTGGCAAAAATTAGGAACTATGAAGATTTTAACAGGAGAAACACCTCACCCACAGCAGATCCAGGAGGCTGCATCGAAAGGAGAAGCGAACTGAGCTGTTTATAAAGGAAAGTTCACCACTAGATGTCTCATTACTTACTCCCAAAATAAGCTGTCACGAGCATGCTGAACGTGCTGGCTCTTTGGGGAGGGAGGGGGAGAGAGAGAGAGAGGACGCACTAATTGTAAATGTGCATAAGTGCGAACCATATCTACAGCAAAACACAAAACGTCTTTCACACTGGAAATGGATGGTGCTAAAGAAAGACCCATTACTCTCTAACAATAGCAGTTAAACATTACACTACTCACGTGAGTTAGAGCTGTCCCATGGGAGGAGAGGTGGCAGAATAGCTGTGGTGTGGTTAATGGTTGCAAATTGAGGTGACATGATTTTCTTCATGGTCCTATTGTCCTTTTGTACTACAAGAGGGAAAGTTCATTTCAGTCTCAGAAAAAAGACAGCTTGCAGTTAATTTCCAAACAAATCAGGAAGGGTTTCCATAAGTGATCTCCTGTTCTCTGTCCATGGCATGCTGCAGGGTCTTTTCAAATTGTCCTGGATAGTCTGGTGGACGCTTTTGAACAAAGAGTTGCCTGCAACTGTCTCTACGGCCCAGGAAGACCCTTCCAGTCCTATGTTCCTAACAGGCATGGAGGGAACAGATTCCAGGGCAGTGCACACTGCATACTGACAGCTGTGAGAGGGTCCCACTATAGAAAGGCTGGGAGCCACTGCTATAAGATCATAGCTAAAATCCCACCACTAGTTTAATAAATGTTGGTATCTGGATGGTACCCCAGTGACACTCTGTGTATGGGGAAAGACCAACTCACATAAGATGGGAAGAGACATATAAAGAGATCCAATCCCATCTCCCTGCCACTGCAGAAATGTTCCTTAGCGCTCATTTTCTATTGCTTTGTCCAGTTCACTTTTGAAAATCTACAGCACTGGGGGGCCTTCACCCTTTCCCTTAGGAGACACTTATATGGCCTGATGCATCTCTTCACAAGGAAGTTACATTTCCCATAAAAAGAGCTTCCCTAAACAATACCGCACACTGTAATTATTTATTAAAACTTTTCACTTTTTATGAAAAACTGCTTCCTTGGCTCAGACACTGTGGACGGGATCATCTAGTCCCTTGCACTGGTGCAGATCAGGAAGAACTCAGTGGTGTATAAAATGAGGGTAAACCAGCAGAGAATCAATCCATTACTGTCTGCTACTCTACACCTATTTCTTTGCTCTTGTAATTGGGTTGTTGTAATTAGAATTTTAAAAAAGAGTTATAAAAAATGCAAATAGGATGTGTGGGTGCTTTAATAAGGGGATATAAAAATAATGCAGAACATGCATTATACAATGACAGTATATTGAACAATGGAGTGTTCTCACTTGGAGTACTGTGTTCAGTTTTACCCACCTCTAAAGAAAGATATAGGAGTAGTTGCTGGCAAAGTTGTAAAGAAGCCTGGAAAAAGGAATTTAGAATTTAATATGGGTGAGCACATGTGAAGAGACATTAAAATTAAATAATAAAAGGCTGTGCTTAATGACAGACAGAATTATTTTGTTAAAAAGTATCAATGCAAGTTCTATTTCCCTGGCAAAATGCTTTGAGACTGCTTTCATTGACTTTGAAATCTGCTAGAAATTTAAGAGCAACTCAGGGAATTCAGTATGTATCACTACAATAGAAGCTTTTAATGTCTTACCTAAGAAACAGCTGAAACAATGGAACCTACTGCCCAAGACACTAAACATCACAGCAAAACTGATCATAGGCCAAGCCATGCCACAGGGGCTGATGGGTTTCACTTGGACAAGCAGGCTGCAGAACTACCTGGTTGCAGCTGGTCAAGTGAGAAGCAGAAATCCAGAAAAGCAGTGGTAAATGCTGCCTCTGGGAGGAAGCTGTGGGACTGAGCATCTGCAGGGACAGGACTCGCCAGACAAGGCAGAAAACTGCTGTCTTTGTTCTTACTGCACAGGGGGGGAAACAGCACTTTGTGGACATTTCTTGTGAATAAGCAGGATTACACACAAGGAAAACCTGATTTACATCATCTTTGTAATGTAAACAGCCTCACAAGTTTTAGAAGATTATGGTTAACTACTTGGGCCAAGGGGCAACATCATAATCTGTATTTGGATAGATGATATTCTAACAACCCTGTTTAATTCTTCAGACAAGCCAGATTTATTAGGTGGTTTACATATGGGCTTAGTTTCTCTCTTAATTTTTTTATGTTTTAGCCCTATCTCAACCATCCTATAGTCATGATGCCACTTATTATGTGTACAGTTCCCAGCTTCTTCCTCAGGGTATTTATGTTTTTGATTCCCTAACATCTGTCCCTAACATTTTGTGGTGTATATTATACTGTGTTTTCACTGAATTTGGGGAAACTGCTACATGTCCACATACTTTATCTTTTTATAAAAGATCAGTGAGAATGACAAGGGTTAAAGAAAGGCAGGGAAGATGGCTAGAGACAGAAGAGACATACCTACAAAGAAAATACCAATGCAGGATTTAGTTAAAGAAAGAGAGTCATAAAGGAGTCAATTGAGAGATTTTAGATCCTGAAGTTGCCATATAAACAGAAAATTTTCCTCCTTTACCCCATCTCATAAGTAAACACTCAATGCAGGTCACAGCAGTGGGTTTAAAATAAATAAAAGATTATCTTGCTTCATCAAACTGCACTTCTCATAGTAGAACAGAGTCAGGAGTCCACTAGATTCTTTGCTGAATCTGTGGACAGCCAGATACACTAATTCTCCTCTCACGGACCAAAGACACAGTTCATATTGCGACTGCTCACCATTTCTACACAATATTGGCCTGGATCAATCATAGAACCTCTTGCTGACCACACTGCACACACAAGGCCAGATTCTCAGGGTACATAAGACAGTATCAGAGGTGTTGAGTATGTGGGGGTTCAAGGGCCCTGGCCCTCCTCAGGAAGAGGGCTGTCTCCTGAAATGCTTAAAACTTTCCACATGGCCATCATCTTAGCCCCCTCCCCCAGCAAAAATAAAAGTTAGCGTCTATGGACAGCATTGTCCCAGTGGCTTCAGTGAAGCAAGGATGATTTGGAGGAGTTGAGCATCTAACCCAGAGTATTCAGTTAACATGGAAAATTTAGAGGCCAAGGAGATCAGACACGAGAATACAACAGCAGAATCTACAAGGAGTTGGGATAATTTTATGACCCATAAAAAACATCACATAAATCAACAGAAAGACTTGCATGGGCTCCAAGTGAGGCCTCTTCTCTTAAGTGTAGCACTGTACAGCTGTCTAGAAAACTCCTAGGCTTACTTGCCTTTGTTTGAAGAATCAGATGGAGACCACCATGAAAAGTTGATTTACCATACAGTCTGATCGAGGAGGGCAGGAAATGCCAAATCTTGCTGAGAAATCAAAGTGGTTGTATAGAGAAAATCAAAAACAAATTTAGCTTAATAGATTTAAAGGGCACAAACCCAGACTGACTCTGCTGCAGACACTCCAATGCTCAGCTACCATCACCCATGTGGAATTAAAAATAGCAACTAAAAATGCTCAAATATTTAGCAGTCACACTTCCAGTGGCTGTAATTAATGCAAGGCTGAACAAGTTTGCCCTAACAGCAGTAGACGAATACCATTTATTGTTTCCACTCATTTGAGTTTGCAGTGCTCACCCATTGCCCCAAATTTCCAATTATCACCCAGTCAATTAAAGATTTATGCCAGGTGTCTTGCACATGCACTGTAGTTAAGCCTCCAATACGAACATCATGAAAAACGTTTGGCGCATGGTTGCCCTACCTTTTCTGAATAGAGAGCAAGCTGTTTCTTTAAATCATGTTTGCCGTGACTCTGGAAACTAAGTAAACAAAGCCCTTTGGAAAACTTTGCTTTCCAGCATGCAGCGGCAGGTGAGAGAAAGTAACTAGGGCTGAAGGTCATAGAAGTTTCCAGCCGGGATTACCCAGTCCAGGACTCAGAACTTCACTTCAAATTCCAGATAAATCACTGGAATTGAGCACAGATCCTGTGGATATGCAGCCTACCCTGATGGTAAATGAAAGAACAAACCGCACATGACAGTGTCTCATTAGCAGGTGAGTGAAAACTGATTTCAGGGAAAAAAAATGATTGATGATGTTGGCAGAGCGCAGTTGGGAGGCAGAAAACTTAGTCAACAAACAAGGGCATAAATCCAGCACTTCCAGGTGGAAAAGACAGGGCACTGTCCTGATGAAAGTCATTCTCCAGGAGCCCTTGCTGGCACAGACAAGGTATACCTGTGAGGTAGCTCCGACTGCTAGAACGCCAGTGGACAGAGGGAAAGAAACACGCCATTGTCACAGCACGGTAGGAATAAATGGACAACCACAGGGAGTGAGCTCATTTAGAGGGAGACTGACTTTGCACAAAACAGGCATTAATTTCTGTGAGAAAATGTAAAAAGCTAAACAGCAACCATTCCAGGCACCAGCCAACCAAGCTGCATTTCTTTTCAAGGGAGACAGACTGTGGTTTTGCCTGGCAGTTGCTTACCTATGACACCTCTTTTAAAAAGAGACTATTCCCCTTCTTACATCAGGAGGATCTTTGCATTTAGGCTGCCAGTTGCTCAGGAGCAAAACCACTGCTAAATTTTTCAGCATCTAACCGTGTAGGCTGCTTCTTTCCAGCAGGGCCAAATCCTATTCCACCTATTAGATGTCTAAGTGGCACTTAGGCACCTAAATCTCTGCGTGTTTAAACTCCACTGTGCTCAAGCCCCTGAAAAACTGTTAACACGTCTATTTTTGCAATTTGCCTTCACCTTAGCCTTTGGATTAAGTCACACAAAGCAATGAGGACAAGGAAAACCTACCCAACTTCTGCAGTAATATTTTTTGGGGACTTGAGTAGGGTGGAACAGAATCTTACTTGAACGTCTGAGGTAGAATAGGATTTTGTTATCTCTTTAAAAAAAAACCCCAAAACAAAAGCCAGGTACACAGGGCTTCAGGGTCCCTTTTAAGAACAAAGTACACCCTGAGATTTCAAGCTATTGGTGGGTTCACAGGCTTGCGAGTACTTACTATGTTATGTCATATATTGGCACTTCCAGTCTTGGATGAAGCCAGGAATTTGCAGTAAAATGAAAATGAAAATTAAAAATTTAAGTTAGCCAAACAGTTTGAAACTTGCAAAAAGACATGGCTGGCTCCATTATACTTTGAATGAAGAGTGAAGGCTCAAGGTAGTTCTGATTTTATCCAAACTGTGATAAATATTGATAAGTCTGATCCAGTTTAAGACTGTGCATAAATATAGCAGCATCTGTAGAACAAAGACCTGCCCAGAGATGCACACCAAGTACATATTGTTCTTCACAGCCATAATTAAGGAGGGGACACTTGCAGT